TTCCAAAGTAATTATCGTTACTTTTATGAAAAAAAAAGCTTTCGGGCTGAAGCCCCCCCAAAATTAAATCATGGATCCGCTAGTGGTAAGTGATGAAGTAATCGGAAACGTAGAGCGGTTTCTTGTCGTTTCAGTCTAGTATGAATACCCGCTTTAATTTTGAATAGAATGTTGTTATAGCTAGGCAGCATAGCTTCCCGGATATAAGCAAAAAATAGAAAAAAGTGACATTCCGGTTGCTTCTCACCTCCTAACTCAACCGTATAAAGTCCTGAAGTCAAAAATTGTGTTTTTTCCATTTCCCTTAATACTCCATTGTTTTTTTTTTCAGCGCTTACTGACAGAACTAATAGGATTTTTTTTTGAATCTAAAATACGGTTAAACATTCTGTTTTCCTTTAACACACACAATAACGAAAAATACTTCAAATCTGAGCTTTAATTGTAAGATCTTTAGGTTATTTAATTTTGTATTGTACATAGTTGTTTGATTATTATTTAGTTATTATTACTTTTGTTAATTTTATGTATTCTGTATATATGGTGTGAATGTGTTCATATCTCAATATAATTATTGTCCAAGAGACAGATTATTATATTTCTAAATAATAATAATAAAAAAGGTGTAAGATACTGGTGTAGAATGTGCTTTGTGTTAAATATAATCTTTATTAGTTGTTGATTGTGTAATTTATTTTGATCACAAGTACTCTTGAGGTGACCCATATTAGAATTTTTGTTTTTTACATTTTTACATCCACACTAAGTTGAAAATATAAAAGTTTTACCCCACGTTTTGCAACATAGATGCCTGTTTCGTTTCTCTTTCTTATTATTTTTTAATTTAGCTGCTAATTTTGAAATAAGTGGCTTTAGAATGGTAGAAAAGATTCATTTTATTTAAGAAGGCACACACTAGTAATTCACATTTAAACATTCTCCTGAAATGAGTATCCTTTTTTTTTTTAGACCTAGCTTCAAGTCTAGGAAATATACCCCTAAAATTTAATGTAGTTAAAACCAATAATTAAAAAATAGGCGAGAGAGGTCGTTTTATTTCAACTACACAGTAATAAAAAGTAAAATCTCAGGAATAGGAAATAAAAAACTCAAATGTTTTAATTCTCATATACTCAATTCACTTAAGACTACGGGCGAATCTACGGCGGAGGTGGGGGAGGGGGTGGTTTGGGGCTGAAGGTCCCCCAAATTGGTAAAATATAACCATATTTTATGGAAAAAAATAATCTCTTAAAGTATTATTGTTCGTGTAATTACATTTAAAAGGGATTTAGCAATCACTTAAACACCATTTCATATAGGTAGTTAGTTTCTTTCTTTTTTACTTAAGTAATTATCGTTATTTTTATGAAAAAAAAAAGCTTTCGGGCTGAAGCCCCCCAAAAAAATTAAATCCTGGATCCACTAGTGGTAAGTGATGAAGTAATCAGAAACGTCGAGTGGTTTCTTGCTGTTTCAGTCTAGTATGAATACCAGCTTTAATTTTGAATAGAATGTTGTTATAGCTAGGCAGCATAGCAGTTGAATTTCATTAAAGTACTGGAGGATCCGTGGAGGTGGCTCTTTTGGGCTCAAGCTCTTCCCCCCACCAAAAAAAAAAAAAAAAAATATTCCTCCATATTTGTTTCCATGAGTGATCTGAGATAAATACTTTAGCAATCACAATATGTTCTTTTTTTTAATCATAACACATATATAACTACTAAATGTAAGCATAAGTCAATAAAGAAATATAAACAATTACTCTAAAAAGCATTACTTACCTTAATAACTTAATTAATTAAAAATTTTATCTACTTAGTTTTGTTAGTAGGCCTTTAAAGACCTTAATCATTTTCTATAGTTTTTGTTTCTTGCAGAGTAATAAATGTAATTAAAAAAGAAAAACAAATTATCCCCTTCTATAAAAATTAAATTTTCAATCCACTATTGTATTATAGGACATACTACATAAGCTATAAAGATGCCAGGAGTGGGTAAAGAATACATAAATACAATTTTAAATCCAACAAATCACATTAATAGTGAATTAGGATTATTAAATAAGTATTTAACAAAACTGATGTTAAAGTCAGTTTGATTATTTGTTCAAGAAATAAACTAATCAGGCTTACATAACAAGACGAATTCAAACACAGATATATAAATAATTAAAACAGGAATTAATATAATTATAATTTCAAAATAATATCATCAAGGTTACATAGCCATCATTTGCATTATAAAAAATTATGAACAGTCTACGTTCTAACTATACCATACAAAGAAAAATGAACTTCAAACTTAGCAGATTTTGTACTGAATTTTTTTAAATTATACATAGGATCATTCCATGTCAAATCAACCAATGGTCTCGAATAAATCAATGATCTGGAAATATGTCGTACTATTAGTTAAGATTAAACTAATGCAAAGTAGCTTTATTTTTATGCTCCATCTAGGTTGAAATGATTTAATTTTTCCTTTGATATTTAAATTTTTGAAAAATATTAGTAAATTATAACACCATTTATATAATTTGATACTTTGGGATTAGGAAAACTATGTTATTCATTTAATTAATTAAATAGAAACAAGATAGTTCAGGAACTAAAACAATTTAGTATAATTATTAATTGGTAAATAACAAGACACATAAGAATATCAATATAAAATGCTAATCCCGATTGCATGAAACTCAGCTAGCAGCTATTTTAATAATTCTGCTTAAACACAAGAAAAATATATTCAATCAATTTTTGCAAATTCAATCAAAAGACTAGCTAACACAGATCATGAAATGTTTAGTAAGCTAAATGAAAACAATAAATTAATAATCAATTTCATTAGTGTTTTTCTTCACTGTAACCATAACAATTTCAATTTTAATATCAGAAGAAGTTAGTTAACCAAACTCCCGACTAACTTCTTCTGAAATTAGAATCAACAGTCAACCATCTCTCCATACCATTTTGAATTTTAATATATATTCAGCTAGCTTTCAACTAGCTAATACTGTCACACAGTTTGTATTTAGTTGTATTCCTTAAAAGCCATATGCTATAAATATCGGATACAAAAATTAACAATTTCAATAACATTAGGATAAACTCGTAACTTTTTCCCTTGAACCACTATCAGTGAAATTGGTGTATTAGTACACTGTGAATAGGTGCAGTGTAATCCACGAATAGTTGCCAACAATCTTTAAAGTTAGGAGTGTGTTTATATTTTTACTAAAAATTACCCAATAATTTATAAAAACTGTGAATAAATAACTAATAAAATTTAAAACTAAAAATTCATCTTTTCAGTGAAAATTACCCTATATTTAAAATAATTTACAGTGAATAAACTTTAATAACTGTTAATAAATTATGAATGTTATGAGGTAAAACAAAAATCTCAAATTTTTCTAGAAATATTTCTATAAACCGTTCAGAATCATTTAACTTTATTTTGGCACTATTTTAAAATTAGTGCCCCACTTTGATAGGCAGCAAAAGACCTCGTGATCACAATAAACATGGCAATCTAAAAATGGACGAATGTGTCCAAAAGTAGACTGACGTGGCGAACTGTCTAGTAAATGACACACTGGGAGTATGTTTATTCTTTTTGAGAGATTGTAGTGAGTGGAAGTTGAAAGCAGCAATATATTTAAAGCTAAAGAAGGACCTGATTTTATTTTAAAAGGACCAGTCGGCAGTTTTAGAAGTCATAACGCAATATAAATAAGAGCTTATACTGTGAACACGTCAATACTTGGCCATTCTAATAATTTCACTTATAGTATGTAGTATGAGATATTAGCCCACCCGTTAAAGTTGAACATTTGTTCCGTAGTACTTTATTAAGTTATTTTTTTAAGACTATTATTAACTGCACCACAAATTTAATCTTTGCATATCAAATTTTGAAGTTGGTGTGAATCTTAGCATTCCTGCACAAATTAGTTGTTATTCATGGAGTAATTCACAATATTTCTGTTCCTTCCTGATGAGAATCTGAGAGAACCTATACTAGATAGACTCTTGCCTAAAAGTATTAGGAGAAGGTGAACAGTTTTCTACAACACTTGACACTTTAAGTGAGCTATTCAGGCATTTTTAAGATCAATTAAGAGTTACAGGATTTAGAAGATTTAAAGACAAAGCAAATAACTCACCCTTGTGCATTATTTCTAAAACAGGTTAAATTAAAAAAAATCACAAGTGAAAAATATTGAAATTTTGTACTTTTTAATACATTCATGCAGTGAACTTACATACAAAGTTTCACTTTTTTTTTACAAAAATTTTAAGTACAAAATTAGTTCTTTGTTGGTTGATTTTATATAGAATGACTCTTTTCTGTTCTGTAGTCAATTTTTTATTAATTTAAAATAAAGCTTGAGGATTGATTTATAGTAAAAAAAAACAATGTTTTAAAACTATAAGGCCTTTAATAATTAAATGAATGCAACTGATCAACAAAATCTTAATTTTATAACGTAAATCTATAATGTAAAACTCACCATAACAATTTAAAACGTTTTAGTTACCCCTAGATATTATTCTACACTGATGAAATCTTAACATTGAATAAGCCTATCTATTGTATGTAAGGAACAAATAATACACTTAAAAAATGTTCACACAATTTAAATTCAGATAGCAAAATTATTAAAGCTCTAAATTACATAACTTTCAAGGTTTAAGAGAACTTAATTGCATTAAGAACAAACCAAAAACACCAGATAAACAATGATAACCTGTAATTTTACAAAATATTTAGTGAGAACAAAATTTACACTGGGTAGTAATTAATTCAGAATTTTATTTTTTCTTAATTATATTTTCAGTTTTTTTTTTCAATTTTCTTCATTTAAAAAAACATCAGCATAGATGTGGCATGAATATACAACGTTTTGAAAATATAATGTTCTTGACATGTTAATAAATGTAATTGTTCAATATAATATACAATTTAATAACCTGTATTTTACATAGAAAACATACCATAAAAAATTAAGAAGTTTCAGTTACACCCGGCAACATTCAACACTAAACATAACAGTACTTAAACTTTGTGACGGCTATCAACGAGAAGCTCAAATCAACATACCAACGAGGTATAAATAATCAATCAATATAAATACAAATTCTAAGATGAATGTATATAAGTCACTAATATAAAGTATTTTAGTAAATAATTATAAATTAATTTGGCTATGGGACACGAAAAATTAAAATAAAGTAGAAAAACATAAAAAAAAACTAAAAAAACTTATGAAAAATTATCATCAGTGACAGGTCGGTTGATAGTATATCAAAATTATGTAGAAAATTAATCAGGGAATAAAGACTAATTTCCCCAATTAAATGACCCTCTGGTTTTTCAACTTAGCTCTCATTATTTACTGCTTTTTTTAGAATAATCTCTGTTATTATTCACTTAAAACAAGGATTGTGTCAAGGATACACCAGATAAGTTGATATTACTGTGTACAGTTATCCACATATAGATTTTATTTATTTATTTTATTTTAATTATTATTATTGTCATGTTCATCACCAGTATGGTAACTGATGAGAGGATTAGGTTATTAGGCCCGAATCCTTATTTCTCCTGTCAAATAGAAGCCTCATAAATCTCGTCGAAAACCTCTAATGACACCTGTAATTCCGAAGAACATGAAATTCAGACAGGTGAAGTACCACAAGAAAACATTGAAGAACATCAGTCTCAAACAGGTAGCTCGTCACAAGAGACAACTGAAGAATCTTCCTATTTTACAACAACCCCTATTAGGTGCTTCAGAATGACAGAGAGGTAATGGAGTCCTCACCGATACCAAGAGACCCCCGACCACCCTCGATATTTGTTAAGAACATAAAACATTTTCAATTACTATGTTTCAGCTCAACTAAACCAAATAAACAGCGGAATCTATTCACGTCTAAGCAGAAAAAATGACTCCAAATATCACCAGATACAGCTGAGACCTATAGAAAAAGTGTGAAGTGTCTAACAGAGACCAATCAGATTTTCAATCGTATCAATTGCGGCAGGAACGAGCTTTGAAAGTAGTTATAGAAACCTATACCCCTAAACACCAACTGAAAAAATAGAAGGAGAACTGAAAACTTTAGGTTTCAAACTGCGCCAGGTAACAAATGTTCTAAATGAGAGTAAGGAACAGCCACAAGTAAAAATTCCTCTACTTTTACGCCGTGTCCTAGGAGGAATGTCGTCCAGTGCCACAAGTTCCAGGCGTATGGCCACACGAAGACGTATGGTTACACGTATTGCCATCATTTGCCGCGTTGTTAAAATGCGGTTGACAATAAAAACTGGTGAGAGCACAAAACCGAAACAAGATCCTGCAGTTTGTGATTTGTGCCACGAAGGACATCCGGCGAACTAAAAAGGCTGCAAGATATACAAGAGTATCAAATCCAGATACCAGAAATCGCTGTAACAAGAAGAAACTGAAAGATCCGGATCAAAAAAAGAACTTTCCAAAATCATAGAGCCGACGGTGTCATTTGCATACCTATTAGGAGGTAAGAATGAAATTACTTATTGTGAGGCTCTGCTGCAACAACAGTATATAACTCAAATTTCTCAACCTCACCCTTAACATCCTACCACTCCAACTTAATCTAATCCTCAAAAATTCGATTAACACCATATTCTTCCTCTGTCAAATACCACATATCTTATCAGTTTACTTACATCTTTTCTCTCCGAATTCAGATCGCTTATTGCTCCTTTGATATCCCTTCTCACCAATCTTGTATCATATTTTTTCCTTCGGCCAGGAAATCCTTAAATGACTTCCAATATACCTGTACCCATTCTCCTTTGGGATGCGAAAGGTGTTAGAAATCATACAGAAAACTATCTTTATTATTACTTGACAATAACATTGACATGGCACTAATTACTGAAACTCGACTGACCACTAATCACCTCTTCAAAATACCACAATACCTGACATATCGTACTCCCCACCCTGAGGGAAAAGCACATGCCGGCACTGCTGTCATTGTATACTAATCCCTCTCCCATTACCTACACAAATTTCCTAGAATTCACTGCTATCGTAATAAAAACCTTCTCCTTTCCGGTTACCCTGGCACCAGCGTATTGCCCTCCTATCCGATCCCTATTCAATGCTCAATTTAGTTCTCTCATCAACTCCTTAGGACATCACTTTATTTTGGGTGCAGACTTAAACGCCAAGCACCAACAATGGGGTTACAGAACCACGAATTTTCGTGGCCGAACCATGTTGCCTGCATTCAATTCCCAACATTTTCACCTCTTTTTCTTCTACTCTCCTACCTACTGGCCCACAGATCCTAACTGTAATCCTGATATTATTGATTTCTTTATCCACTTATGTCCCCTCCATTCTTAATCCTCTTCACATTAATTCTTAATGTTCCCAAACCTTCTTCATCGTCATTTATCAGGTGCCCAGTTAACTGGGACTTTTTCAGCCTAATCCTCTCCGATAAAATTGATCTCAGAATATCTTTAAAAACTCCCAATGACCTAGACAGTGCGGTCGATTCCTTTACTACCACAATCAAACAAGCTGCCTGGACTGCCTCCTCCTCAAAAGACTCCCCAAGAAAAGTCCATTCTACCCCAACACCTCCTTAAGCTAATCCACATCCAACGCGATACCAAATTATTAAGGTGATGTACTAGACATTTCACCGACCGCAGCTCCTATATTATTACTTTTTTTTCTACCTTTTTTTTATGTATTTATCATCTGTAATTTTACATGCTCTACCAATGAGATTTTTTGCTGAGTTTATTATTTGATATTTTGGATGTTGGCTATGGTAATTTAATAGTCTATTACTTGCTATATATTTTTTAGTCCATTTTGTGTTAAAAGAATTATCATTAAGTCTAAAATCTTAATTTGTCATCTATAGGATTTTCTATTGTGAATATTATTCTTTTGTTATATTCATTAAGTATATCCAGCAAATCATTAAATTGACCTTTTTCTGTTATGATGAATAAATCATCTATATATTTATTTGTGCAGACTGGTTTAATTATTGTTTTGTCTAATGATTTATTTATTAATTCAATTGAAGAGAAGTATGGTTGGGGTGTTCAGTCAAATTAAAATGGTAAAAAATAAATAATTTTATTTATTATTTTACATTCCTGATTTTATTTATTTTTAACATTTCAATTTGACTGAACATCCCAACCATCGTTATCTCCAACTATTCACTACATTCATTCATAAACCCACAATTATTTATTAATTCATTCATATATATAACACTTAAATTTGAACCCATTGGTAGTCCGTGTGTCATTTTGTACATGTTATTATTATATGTAAAGTAGCAATTATTTATGCATAATTTTATGCCTTCAATGAATAATTTTTTTAAATTTTTTATAGGCGTATATGGTTCTATTTCATCCCATTTATCATTTATTATTTTTATGCATTAATCAGTACATATATTTTTGAAAAGACCTGGACATCAAAACTTATCATGTTGTATTTTTATTTTTATTTAATTTAAGCCTACTTAATATATCTTTAATTTCAATTCAATTTTTTACATCATAATTATTATTTTTATTAAATTATTAAGAGCATTATTTAAACATTTAGATAATTTGTTAGTTGGTCCTGATACATTATTTAAAATAGGTCTTAAATTTTTATTTTCTTTAAGTAATTTGATAATACCATGTATGCAGGGGAGGGGGAGGGGTTATATAATTTTTGGTATTAATTGATTTTTTGTTATGTATCCTTTTTTATATATTGTATCTACATATTCTTTGATTTCATTTGATAATTTAGGTCCCGGTAGGTATTATTATCATTTAGTAAGTCTGACATTTTTTTATATATTCGTCGACATACATAATGGCTATTTCTTTTGTTTTATCTGATTTTATGAAAATATGTCCTTGTGGTCTTTGCAAAATTTGTTAAAAAATCTTAAGTCATTATATAATATTCATAAATTTATTGTTTTCAATTTTATGTTCACTTCTATTTAAATAATTATTGATTTCAAGATTAATATGATTTTTTATACAATTTGTATGATTATTGATAATAACTTCACTGGTAAGTATATTTTAAATATTGGCTTATAATTTTACTAATTCTCTACTTATTGATTTGTTATTTTGTTTAAAATTCATGCATAAATTTTTACCAAGTGATAACAAGTTGATTATTTTTGTAGGTATTTCTATTTTAGTCAGGTTAATTACTCTATTTTTTTTTATTTTATTTTTTTGTCAGTCCAAGATTCCCTCTGAAGTCCTATATTGTGAATACTATTTTTAGTATGAAGTGAGTTGTATTCTTCTATATTTTTTTCCATTGAATTTATCCAATTATTTTTACCATTTAACAGATTAAGAGTTTTTATATTATTAGTTTTTATGGAGGTTATGTTATGATCTATGATTCTATTCTGTATTAGTTTTAGTATTTTCCGTAAAATAGAGAATAAAACAGCCCTAGCCCACCATAGCATTACAAATAGACATACATTCAATTTAACATAACCACAAATATTATATAAAGAAACAAATGGTACAAATAGAAAAATAATAGAATCCATATTTATCATTAAACATAATGAAAAATCAATAAATTATAAAACTGATGCAGCGAAAATAGGGAGCAATTATGGTTTTATAATTAAGAAATTAAATATATAAAAATGCTTTGCAATTTGATCCTTTGTTCAAGGTTTGGTTCAGTATTTGACTAGGCTCTCCCTAGAGGAGTTCATAATATGATTTAAGATAATAAATTCATTATAAAAACTTGCTATATACATAAAAATAGAAATAATATATCAAATAATAACACAAAATCGTAGCATTTTAGGGATGAATTATGAAAATAAAAAAATTATGACAAATCTTATATATGTATAAAATAAGATGATATTAGGATGAGATACTGGTAATATTGGCAATTTCTGTTATTGTTGTTAAAAGTTATAATAAAAAAAAATATAAATAATAAACCATTCTAATTTCTAGTCTGAATATGGGATAAGAAATTCGATCCCCAAACGTCATAAAAAT